TGTTAAAATATCTCCAATCTATTTTTTTGTAAAGCAAATGCAAACAAACAGCTACTGAGGGGAAAAAAGAAGAGGGGGTGTAAATGCAGAGATTCTGCCAGGGTTGAAAATAAAACAAAGGTGCAGATATGCAGCGATAGACAATTTAAGGTACAGTTTTGATGGCAATGAGGTTTAAAGTCTTAAAGTCTGCGAGCACACAGACTGTTCATCTTTAATATTGAAGCATCAGGGAAATTAATTACATTACAAGCACGGCTACATTATAACCCCGGGGAAAAATCAACGTGAAGGAAAAAATAAAAATACAAACTTTGAATTTAAAAAATGTACAGAAAAGAATTTTAGTTAAAAACCAATATCTGGAAATGGATTTAACAAGTCAGAATCATCCTAAGAACAAAATGCACTTGGCTTGGAAGTTGGTATTTACACTTTTATACATGCCTGATGCCATCATCATTATATACATGACATTGCAATGACACTGCAGAAAACCAGGGGGAGTTGTTAACCTCGAGACCGGTTGTTTCCTGGTCACATGATGGAAACTGAAATAAAGACAATGGATGTTCGCTGTTCTCTAGTTCTGCTTTGTTGAGTTTTCATCTCATGCAAATTGTCGTGGTGACCTCGTACAAATATAACTGTCATTTAAGAGCGGACATCCAAAACAATCAAACAAAGTACACGTGTATCAGGGAAACCCACATGAGAACGAAGGCTAGATTATGTGCTGGTTAAAGATTTTTTTTCTCCTTACCAAATCACAATGCATCATGGCTGACATCATTTTTAAAAAATCATCAGAAGTTAGTATCAGCCAAAATTTTAAACTTTCTTTTTTTTTTTTTTTTTTTCTTTTTCTTTTCCAGCAGCGCCACGTGTGTTCAGTGATGGCTTTCAGTCCGAAAAAAAGTCCAGGATATGTGCTTTTTGCATAGTCTCAATGCAGTTTGTGTTTCCGTTTCTTGTGTTTTTTGTCCTTCTTCTTGCCGGAACATTTAACACAGAACCACTGCTGGTCCTCGGGAGGCGCTGTCATGACCCCGACACAAGGCCTGAGCGGACAAGAGGAGGAGACAGTTCAGTTTGGTGGTTTTTCATTTCTACTAGAGGTGTAACAGCACAGACATCAGTCAGAAATAATCACAGGGTCATTCACCTACATGAAGTTTTTCATGCTGATTTGGTTCATATTAGAAACCTATGGAACCTACATTTTATGTGCCTCTGATCCTAATTAGAGGAGAATGGGACAATGAAGCTTAACTGCGAATTTGACTTTTTGACAGAGAAATGGTCCTCCTGTGTTTAAAGTTTTTAAGTATATAAAAAAATATATTATGAGCATTTGGAGTGTTACTATCTATTACAGTTGAATTGCAAAATAACTACATTTAAAAAAGGTAAACGTTTTACTTTGGAGGTCGTGTCCATCTTGAGTTACTTAAACTAGTCACTTAATCATGAATGGACCATAATAATCACAAGACACATGCATTTGGAAGACAATAAAACATGTGTTATGTGTAATACTGTATCTAAAATAAATGCAGTGTGTCCTAACTTTTAATATATTAATATTTAATATTAATTTTGTGAGTAACAGGTGAGATACAGTTGATTGCAAAATGAAAAACTGCACATGCAGCTGTGGTGGTGCGTTTGGGGGTATTGTGGCTCTGTCGTCACATATCGAGATACAGATTGTGCACATTAGTATCGGGTAATTGGTTTCTGTTTCAGAATCGGTACATCTGTCAACTTGACCGGTCATGGAAAAGCTGACTTTGGCTACTAAATGCTATAAATACTGAATTCCAAAACAAATGGGGATGCTTCATACCTCACTTGGAAACCATGCTCCCCAACTAATTCTGCTCTTTATGATAGATTGATTTAGTACGGAACAAACGTTTTGTTCTTTATTAAACATCAATCTTTTAATTATTATTTTGTGTGTATAATTATGTGCATGTATTGCATCTGGGACTTTATTTACTGTGTAAAATCTTTGAAAATCCAATAAAATCCATTGGACTATATTAAATATATAAATGAGCTTATTGATGCCAAATGAGCTTCAAGTTTCAGTTGATGAAGAACATTTCTGAAGAGTTCCAGCCGGACGGATCTGGCCGTCGCTGTTGATGTGAAGGACAAGCTTTATTTCATTATCCAGGAAACACCCTCATCTTTACCTAAGACGTTCTCTTCTGTTGGATGGACATCTTCCTGGATGGCCATCCAACAGTTAAGTAAATGAGTAAAACTGTACTGCTTGAACTGCTATTAATATGATTAACTAATCTTAAAAGTCCAGTGTGTAAGATTTAGGTGAAAGGATCTATTGGCAGAAATGTAATGTAGAATAATCCTCATGATGTTTTCACAAGTTTTTTTCATCTAAATTGTATGAATTGTAGTTTTTCTTTACACCAGAAAAGACCCTTATATTTAAATACCTTATATTTACATCGAGGGGACCCTCTCCACGGAGGCGGCCATGTTTTTACATTAGTCCAGACTGGACAAACTAAACATCTTTTGAGTTTTTATGACAACTGAAGGTACCACAGGTTCTTTTTCATGTTTGGAAGGAGAGGGTGAGGTGAGGGGTGTTCAGCTGCAA